GCCATTGTCGCCACTCACGACGTTTTCTCGCACCTTACTATGTCAAAATTTCATCAACTTTTGTCAAATGTACAAACGAGCACAAAATGTGTTAAACAAAGCCAACACCTTGATTCATCATGTCCAAGCGACATCACCAATCGAGGACACACAGCTCATGAATGAAAATGTCGTTACTCCAACCAAATAACCTGTGGGAGTGACTGTCCTAAAAGTGATGTAAAGTGTGTGGTAGAAGAAAAGTGAGTCAATGCTCTTATCAAGGATTGACAAACTATGAAATCTGAAATGGATCACTGTGGTGAGGATCGAGTGATGTGTGAATCGAATGAGTTGAGTCACTCACACAAGTGAATGAAATGAGTCATGTCGATCATATGAATCCAGTGGGATCGCGTGAGTCATATATGTATGGTGTGTATGAATCATAGATACGTATTGTATGTATTTGTAGTATGTATGAGTCATACCCACGGTCTGACGATATCCTACAGATATTTATTATTTCAATTTTTGTTCTGTGCTGTGTAGATTATGTTGTTGTACTCTTGTTCCCCACAGTCCTTTAGATACTGCTACTAGTAGTACTAAGAATACTAGTACTAGTACTAGTACTAGTACTACTGCTGCTACTACTACTAGAGCTGCTACTAAAGACAAGCCCCATGCTGGCAAGATACTGGCAATTTCTAGTACAAACAACACCACTAGAAATTTTAGCTCATTTTTACATCTTAAAAAATGTCTAGAATGTCATTGTACAGACAAAAATAATTTTTTAAAATTGTTTTGTACTACTACTACTACTACTACTACTACTACTACTACTACTACTACTACTACTACTACTACTACTACTACTACNGTTAGGAAGAAAGCAAGAACTTAGTTCAAGTGTTGCAGTACGTGAATAATGAATTAGCGTGAGCTTGCTGGGAATACTGAATTAGCGTGAGCTTGCTGGGAATACTGAATTAGTAGCTCGTTGTTCCCGTAACTTACTGTTTCTTGCTATTTCGTGCAGTMKATACTATGTACCGGATTCTACGGTAATGCAGTAGAACCCAGGTTTTCAGGAGGTATCRAAAACRGGATTAGAAAGAGAGTTCGCATCGCTCAACGGCTGTCATTGATMGGCAGCAGCTGTCATTGATCGGCAGCCACATACATTCCTATTCCCTCAGTCCTCRTAACTGTATGTTACTCTATAACGCATTGCTCCGTCTTAATTGAAGAATGAATGTTCTTCATTACAGTATATGCATAGAATGTAATCCCGGGTTTGTTGCACACAAGGTTTACACAAAAACCACAAATCGATAGGAACTGGTGGAACAAGTACTGACATCTACAGGCAGCAAGAAGAAGCATCGTTGCATACTGCTCGAGGAGGAAGTGAGCTCATTGTATTTAGTAGTGGTAACTTGTAAGCAGTTTAGTAGTTTAAGTTTAATCATTGGTTAAAGAATGCCTGTTTCCTTGTCCCCGCCATGGGATTCCTTGTCCTCACCATGGGATTCCTTCTCCTGTTCGCAACGCTGCCGTTTGTGGGGCCGTGGCGTGGAAAAGACGCCATGTGGAGGCTGCTGCAGGTCCACGGAAGCAACGAATTGCGGAGGACGCCAACCGTTGTCATGGTAAGAAGATTGTTGCTGGAAAGATTGTATTTGCTGTTGTTGGTGCTGATGCCAAGTATTGAACATGTTAACAGCAGCTCCAAGAAAATCCTTCGCTACTTTCTCCGCAGTACCAAACGCATCCTTCCAGATCTCAAGATTGCGTTCCTCTCTTTTCTCATGGTTCTTAATGAAGTCATTGAATGCTGCAGCGTCAGGGACACTCGATTTCTTCTGCTGGTAGGCTCTCTTCTTGGCAACGGGGGTTATCGATGCTCTTGGTGTCTCTTCAGCAACAACCGGAGGAGCTTCCTCTCCACCGACAGGAGGAGCATCATCGTCGTCTCCTCCTTGTTCCTCTCCAGCAAGAACAATTGGTGGTTCTTCTTCTTCCACTTCAGCAAGAATATTGTCATTTTTGTCAGTTTTGGCAGGTGCTAAACCCTCCCCAGCCTCACTTTTAACATAGCCTTYGACCAGATCAAAGTCCTCCTCTCCAGTACCAAGATTTGCCCGACGACCAATCAAGATGTGCGCTTCACGAGCCATCCTCACGTAAGCCGGCATGTTTGGGTTTCCTGTGGAACTCTTGATCCTCTTTATTGCTGCATACTTKGTCTTGATGGATGATCTGGTTCTGAAGAAGGGCCAGGCTTTTGCGTGGTCAGCTACTATGAGATCCCACTCATCATTACTAATGGGAACTCTGTTGAGTATCATACCAATGAGACTGTCCAGCTCATCGTGAGTGTAGTTTGCTACTCCTGCCTTGCGGCCACCACCACTGTTGCTGTTGCCATTACCGGCCATCTTTGTGTCAAAATAGAAAGACAATGAGTTCTCTCTTGTTTGGTGCTGTTGAGTAGTATGCCGGCCTCGTCCTCCTCGTATTGCTTGGTGATTGCACTGACTAATACACCCAGCACCGACCAAGACATACTTTTATGTCCCTTGGCGCCATGGTGGCTGGCGCTTGCCCGTGTCTTGTTGCTTGTTGTTTGTTAGAAAAAAGATCCTAATTTTGTCGAGTTCTGTCTTAAGTTCTGTCTTAAGATTCTGGCGGGCTTTCTGTTGAGTCTTTCAGAATGTTTCAACGGACTCGAAATTTTGAATCAGGAGTTCCATAATAAATTTTATTACTTTTGAAGAGGGTCAACGGAGCTCGTCAAACATAATAAATTTTTGTTATAAATGTGCTAAATTTTCGGTCTGTCAGTCTATCAAAAGTAGCACATCTATAATAACGGGAATCACCCAGTAGCTCTATTAGGTAAGTACGTACGTCATCGAAGGGAAATCACGAGTGAAGAAAAAGGAAGATCAAATAGTACCGTAGGTATCCGTTGCAAAATCATGCACATGCGTTTTCTATTTTTATGTCTAAGCAATCGCGCGGCGAGCTCTCGTCTTCTTCAGAGATTTCGCTCTCAACGATCGTCGAAAGGGGCGAAATTGCGTTTTGTTAATTACGAACGACCGTTCCAAAACAAAGTCAAATAGGCTTCCGATATCACTCATTGCGAATTTGACGATGTTCCGTTCCGTTGACATTTGATGCGTTAGATGGGCTATTAAAATCCAACGGTATACCTTCCATCGGCTCCAATATGCTTATTGAAATACTGGCAGTAACGCTCGTCCATCGCGGAATTTTYTATGAACGTGTGCAATATTGGAGTCTCTCATGATGCGCATTATTCTAGTTTCTCGTAATATTCTCTGATCTTCGTCACCTCATTAGCGGGATCATCTTTCGATTCACTCGCARATCACGTTCGAAGCGAAAGTGTTCATTCTTAATACTAGCGACAATCAAAGAAAAAGTTGGAACTGATACAGCAACGGCAGAAACAACAACAGTATTGACTCGATAAAAACACCAAGATGAAGCTTTCGTTTGGGCTCTTCTTTCTCGTTGCAGGCAGTCAAACCGGCTTCGTTTCTGCACTAGAAACTAGGCGAAATTTGCGTCAAAGCTCTGCTGTGGAAGAAAGAAAACTTGAACACCATGGAGTGCACTTTCCTGCCCCTGCACCACGCCCWGGGCATAACCAGCACGGTGGAGGTGGCTATGGTCACGCACCAAAAGGCTACCATGAACCTGCTGGATACCACGAACCCGAAGGCTACCACGATCCTTATGGTCAGCAAGATCCTTACGGCAAGAGGGTGGGTCCCCCGACTCCGAATCCATCGGACAGACCGACACCCAAACCGTCCCCTCGACCAACCAACCCCCCGACCCCCCGTCCAACTCCAAGACCCACTCCTCGTCCAACGTTTACCCCGACTCCCCGACCCTCAAATCGCCCCACCAATAATCCTACTCCGGTCCCAACAACCTTAATGCCGACCCCGAGGCCTACTTTTAGGCCTACGACGGCACCCCCAACTGCCGAACCTACTCCGGCACCATCTCCGGCACCAACGAGAGAACCATCTGCTGAGCCTACGGCAGATCCCACAAGAGAGCCTTCTGCCTTACCCAGTAGCTCCCCGTCGGCTAGACCAACAATTTCTGCGCAACCTTCTAGTGTAGAACCTACCCAAAGTGAGGAACCATCCGAAAATCCAACGCAGTCTGAAGAACCATCCGATAATCCAACCCAATCCGAAGAGCCATCTGACAACCCAACCCAATCTGAAGAGCCTTCGGAAAACCCGACTCAATCCGAAGAGCCTTCCGAGTTCCCCACACTCAGTGAAGAGCCTACCATGGGTGATTTACTCACTATTGGTAAGTCAAATTAAAATCGTGTATACGTGTGGCTCTTAGTGAACTGTATGTCGATCCTTGAGAKCATCACTTTTCTTATCCATTCAAATGTGTTTGCTTCTGTGCTCTCTTCCGACGGTTTCCATCCCTTTTCTGCCCTACCATCTTCGAAAAAATAGCTGAAGTAGTATGCGCACCACGAAACGCTAATGTTTTTGCCAACCTATGTACTGCGATTCAAGCTGCACCGGGCATATATGATCTCTTAGATGACAATCTAGGCTTCGACTTTATCAATGGTATCTTCGTCATCGGCATTCCAGATCGAATCCCAGTTGTCGACGGTCGTGGTGGAAGAAAACTCCAGGGCAACGCAAGAGGACTCACTTTGTTTGCGCCGAATAATGAAGCGTTCACGAGATTGTTACGAAGACGAATCAACACGTTGTTCAACCAGGCAGTTCCTGAGGTTGTAATTTATTTCCAAGGTCTCGGAGTCGACATCGTGGTGGACACAGGCATCGTTGAAGATTTTTTCTTCAGCGTGGATGGGCAGTTTTTCTTGAGACAATTGCTCTTGGAGCACATTGTTGGTCGGGAGCTCCCCGAAATGAAACTCACTTGCAACAGAGTGATCACCATGCTCAGTAACGGGGAAACTGCCACGCAGTGTATCCRTAACAACAACAACAAAATTGTCCGAAAAAACCAGGTAGGAGAAGGAAACAACCAACGAAACGCACCGAGAATCATCAATGCAGATGTCGGAGCACTGAATGGGGTTATCCACGTTGTGAACAACGTGATTCTTCCGCAGAGGTTTTTGCTTCCAGATGTTAGCAACCCAGGAGAAGACTTTCCAATCCCTTTCTTACCACCCATCGTAAATTCGGGACCCTTGCCTTGATTGAAAGATAATGGCGAGAGTGATGGAGAATCACTGAGATTGCTTCAGGCTTTATTCACACTGAAGAGGATCAAACACACAACGAAAAACACCCTGGCACGGGTGTTACGATTGGTTAGAGTGGTGGCTCTTTTTTGTCTATCACCTCTTCCCTCGGGGTTCATTTCTTCGTTTTTCGAATAGTCACAGGAAGCAGCACTCCATCGACGGTACTGCTTCTAGTTTCCTACATTTTCTTCCTTGCTTTCCTTGTGCACAAATGTATCTATGTCCAAACCTTTACAAAATGGAAGAAAACTAACTAAAATAGTTCTACAATGAATGTATTTAGTATAACCGTAGTGAAGACTATTAGAGCTTTCAGATATTTCTCGTTCTTGATAAGAGGAAGCTATAAATGCAGATGGAGATGTTGAGGTAGAAATGGACAAAGCAGTAMATGGTCTTTTCGGATGCCTCTTGGACTAATAATAATAAAGATTGTGATGTAGGATCTATTAGTGTTGGATGTACCTGAAAACTTCAAAAAGGATGCGGTGTGTTCTTTCGGCAGCTTATGTTATGCAGGGAGGAATCGGGAATTGCCTAATCGCCAAATACTGCAATAGTGATCGGAACCAATAGCTACCGGCCGGTATGTACTGTACCGTACTTAACCGTTGAGCGGCTCAACATTTCCATGTACTCTATAGAGCTACTAAGTACAATTCCAGTGCTGGCAAGTTAAAGGCAATTTCCCGACTGTCAATTTCTTTTATTTTCCAGTCTTTTTTTTTCCCTCTCCCCCCCCCCCTCCAAACAAAAAAACTAGTTAGTCACAAAATATTTCTATTAGTGGTCCTTACTACTGGGGATAAAAAATCAGTGCTTGCTACTTGAGAATTAATATTAGTGCTTACTACTGGATCACCTCCATTACTACTTACTACTAGTTGGGATGCCATACTAGTAGTGAACACTGCGAACTGCTGGGTAAKGGGATTCTGTTAGTGCTGCTAKTWT